CACAATAATTTCTGTGAGAAAATATCATCCAAAAGAAGTTTATGAGACCTACTATAATAATTTCAATAATGCAGAAAGTTAGAGGTTTTCTCTCACAGTTTATCAGCTTTAGTTCTCTGAAAATACTTACATATCCTGTCTGTCTGAAATATCCTGAACCGAATCGATATTCAATCAAATTTCATCATTCAAATTTTATTTGTATAGCCCATATTCACAAATGACCATTTGTCTTATAGGCTTTAACACAGTGTGACATCCTCTCTTCTTAAGTCAACAAGAGTCAGGGCCACCCTGATGCAGTAAAAAGAGTATAAGTAGAGTTTCTCATTCTAAGTCATGGATCAGTCTTAACTGAATGAATGTCAAATCCCTGACAAGAGCAGTGATTGTTGGAGTCTTTTAAATTGAAAACCTTATTAAAGTACAGCACATATGTAATAACAGTAACAGTGTAATGCTTTTAAAAGCACTTTCAAAACAAAAAGTGGGTTCAGATTTAACTGATTGTTTTGTATTAAAAAGCAGCCATGAGCTATAATATAGAAAATGGAGGATGTGATACATTGAGATGCATTGTTGACGGCTGAGTCATGACAACCTGAGGCTTGTGATGAGAAATCCTTAACACTGAACATAATACTTAAACTCAATCATTATCATTTTCTCTGATCCCTGATCAAATAATCAGTATTGATCTCTGCTGTCGCTCTCTGTCTTTCAGCCAATGGAGATGGCAGACGGAGACATCCAGTTTCGTCCGAGGACAGGTAAAGCAGCATCTGCTTCCCTGCTGCCGGAGGTGGAGGCTTACCTGCAGCTGCTGCTGGTGGTTCATCTGACCAATAACAAGAGATACATGGAGGTCGGTTTGTCTGATGTCTGAACGTCTTGAGAGGCAGCGGAGTGACTAACATGATGATGACAACAGTTTGTTATGTTTTAGGCTCAGAAAGCGTCGGACGACCTGCTACAGAAGATCGGCTCGAAGAACCGCAGAGCACTGGATCTGGTCGCTGCTAAGTGTTATTATTATCACGCCAGAGTTTATGAGTTCCTCAAGCAGTTTGACACCATACGCAGGTGCGCACGCACGCACCTAGCACACACACACACACACACACACACACACACACACACACACACACAATATGGTCTTAAAGGTTAGGCTGGAAATGTATAAGCTTTCAGCCTTAGATAACCAGATGAGTTTGGAACATTATTATTCTGGACGAATCGTAATGGTGCGTTCAAACCGAACGTAGCGTGGTCATTTGAGTTTCTTTGGGTTAATGTCCGTAACGCACATATAAACACCACCGGGGAGTATTCACCAAGAGACTGGCTGAAGTGATCAAGTTGCTTTGTTGTACGTGTTGTGGAAACACTGGAGGAAGCCAGCGAAAGAGAGGAGTGGAGAAGTACTGGCTGAAATAACTACAACTGCCACGTTCGCCAAATGTGACGACTGGGGCGAGCGATGCACATTTCTTTGCCTTGACTTCGGAATATTCGCTCCACGATCACTGTGAACGCACCCAAACATTGATTCTGTTCCACAGCTCTGTACTGAAATAGTTTCTCTGCTCACAGGCAACATAAACATCAGCACGTGTCTAGTTAACATGACATTTAACTGTGGTGACAACACTAGCTACATGGCTCTGCACCGTACGTAAAGCCTACAGTAAGCTAGTAGCTACCTCACACTTGAGCTCAACAGTGTGTTTGTAATTCATTTGAAAAGATTCTGTTTAGCAACAATATCAGAAAAAAACAAACATGTACTACACGTTACTGGAGAATTCCACAAGAGGGCGCACCACTGAAATCCAACTATAAAGAACTTCTGGATTAGCTTTGTGTAAAAATAAAACCACTGTGCGTTTATAACTTTCAGTTTCCTCCACACTCGCCTGCGGACGGCGACTCTGCGTCACGACGCTGACGGTCAGGCCGTTCTCCTCAACCTGCTGCTGAGGAACTACCTGCACTTCAACCTGTACGACCAGGCCGAGAAACTCGTGTCCAAGTCTGTGTTTCCTGAACTCGCCAACAACAACGAGTGGGCCCGATACCTGTACTACACAGGTGAGACTGACACCTCCATGTGAACAGTTCAAGACCTTTTTATTATTTGACTGTTTTTCGTCTGTTCCACCCGTGTGTCATGTGACCCCTGCAGGTCGTATTAAGGCGATTCAGTTGGAATACTCGGAGGCTCGCAGGACTTTGACCAACGCTCTAAGGAAAGCTCCACAACACACAGCAGTGGGATTCAAACAGACGGTGTGTATGATCTGAGATGATGATTAACAGACGATCAGGGATCGCTTACTGAAGCTGGATCATGTGTGTGCAGGTCCATAAGCTGCTGATCGTAGTGGAGCTGCTGTTGGGAGAGATTCCTGACAGACTTCAGTTCAGACAACCTTCACTCAAGAGATCCCTGATGCCGTACTTCCTGCTCACACAGGGTCAGAATCTACACACACCTGTACCTCGAACTGTAACTCATCTCTCACACACACACACACACACACACACACACACACACACACACACACACAAAAGTTCTGTGAAACATCAGAAAATTCTGTTTTTTTTAAATGTTTATTTTTGAAGAACTTCATTTTGGGTCTCTCTCTGTCTCTCTCTCTCTCTCTCTCTCTCTCTCCCTCTCCCTCTCTCTCCCTCCCTCCAGCTGTGAGAACAGGTAACCTGGCGAAGTTTAACCAGGTGTTGGATCAGTTTGGAGAGAAGTTTCAGACGGACGGGACGTACACACTCATCATCCGCCTGAGACACAACGTCATTAAGACCGGTGAGCCAATCACAGGCTGTTGTCAGTCGTCCCACATGTTGTTTCAGACTGAAAACGTGATGTAAATATTGGTGTGTGTGTTTTCAGGTGTACGTATGATCAGCCTGTCGTACTCTCGTATCTCTCTGGCCGACATTGCTCTGAAGCTGCAGCTCGACAGTCCCGAGGACGCAGAGTTCATTGTCGCCAAGGTAACAAGGATTAATTCAAGATCACAGAAAAGAATCCACAGAGCTCGGTTAGATCAGGTGTGACGTGTGGTTCTGATCACATCTGTGTTCAGGCGATCCGTGATGGAGTGATCGAGGCGAGCATCAACCACGAGAAAGGTTTTGTCCAATCAAAAGAGACCATGGACATCTACGGCACCAGAGAGCCTCAGCTGGCATTTCACCAGAGAATCTCCTTCTGTCTGGATATACACAACATGTCTGTGAAGGTAACACAGTTAAATACACAACAACAACACAACATGTCTGTGAAGCTAACACAGTTAAATAAACAACAACACAACATGTCTGTGAAGGTAACACAGTTAAATAAACAACAACACAACATGTCTGTGAAGGTAACACAGTTAAATACACAACAACAACACAACATGTCTGTGAAGCTAACACAGTTATATACACAACATGTCTGACACACAGACGCTAATTTTCGAGTGTGAAATAATAATTGACTGTGTCTCCCCCTGCAGGCCATGAGATTTCCTCCCAAAGCTTACAACAAAGACCTGGAGTCAGCCGAGGTAACACACACACACCCACACACCCACTTTTTATATATACACACACACAAACTATATATATATATATATATATATATATACACACACACACACACACCAGTGATACAAAAATGTAGCATAGCAGTGAGAATGTGCAATCGTGTGTGATGCGTTCAGGAGCGTCGGGAACGTGAGCAGCAGGATCTGGAGTTTGCAAAAGAAATGGCTGAGGACGATGACGACAGTTTCCCGTGACCTCGTTGAGCGGACTTCCTGTGCAGACAGGAAGAATTTGTGTGTGTTAGCGGCACACATGTTAGTAGATCATTTATTACCCACAATGCCCCTCTCCTGTCATTTCTCTGTGGTGTGTATTCTGCTGTAATGCTTGAACTTTAACCTTTTTTTCTCTCACTGAGATGAATAAAAGAAACTTGGTTTTCACCTGATTTGTGTCTGTGGAATTCTGGGTAGTGCGAAACGCTCCTGAGTCTGAACTGAACCTGAAAATAAAAATACATTTTGGGTTTTACACAATAAGAAGCTGCATCTTCCACCCATGTAAATATTTCACAATAAAACCCTTCAAAACAAATGAATGGATCTAGTCAGAAACACGAGTGTTCTTATTTTGAAAAGGGTAGACTACAGGAAGTGCAAACATTAATGTTCGTGGCTTATTCAACAGATCGATATTAAAACTGAAAACATAATTTTCTCTGTTCTGCAGTGAACACAACGAAGAGTGCAGCTGTGTGCATATAGATCAATGTAATTATATAATGTATATATAGAGAGAGATGGATCATAATGTGGATATAGACTATATGTAGGGAACCTTGTAATGTTTTAAAAGTTATGAATTAAGTTTACTATTCGTAAATTATATTTTGTGTCTTATTTAAATAGATTATGTCTATAATGATATAGGTTACAGTTATATGTTTCTATAGATTCTGTAAATGAACTTGTGACATTTCCTCAGCAGATAATTGAGTTTCCTGCTGAGTCAAGTTTGTCCAGGATGACGACACAAAGGAAGTGCCCCCCCCCCCCAATTCAACATAACAATGACGTTCATGTTACTGTAAAATGATGGGAGTACTTCCTGTCCGGAGTCACACTCTGACGTAGAAACTAAGGTGTAAACGTGCGTTGTTACGCAACAGGTTTTCTGAAGCTTCGTCACTTCGGGTTTTATCGGATGATGATGCAGCGGCGGAAAATCCCGCGGGACAAAGAATGCGCATAAAAACAGACGCACAAACTTTAACGCATTTATCTGCGCAGAGAGAGAGAGAGCGAGAGAGCGAGAGAGACGCAGAAAGAGAGACAGACATACAGAGAGAGACAGAGGGACAGACAGACATGGACTCTGAGACAGGTAAGACATGGAGGATCTGTGATGATCAGCTGATCCTCCACCTGAGGACTCACCTGATCTATGGGGGCTTGTTGTTGGGTTGACGCTGTATGGGAGGTTGTTTGTGCCACAGAGGAACTATTGTTCAGTTGTGATGTTTATTGTCTGTCCTCCTGTGTGGAACAGAGCAAAGACACAAAACAGAGTTTGTCTTCTGTGATGTTTGCTCGACTTAGCTGGACAGCACAGAAACAAAAACTGAGTGGGGACTGAAATGAATTCAGTTCGTTTTTAAACAAGTTGATGCGTCACTGAAAGAAGACGTGACGATGATTGGTTCTTTCATCGTTGTTTATTGTTACCTGAAGGTTTGGATCACAGGATAACACAGTGGTGGTTTGAACGTTCATGAACTTCTAATAACTTGTGTTCTAACTTTTCATCATCTGGTCACACCTGCAGAACTTGGAACATTCCCATCAGCCTCAGCATCCAAAACTAATCAAAAAAACTGCAAATGTATTTTTATCCTGTTGTGAGCAATAAATGTTTACATATGTTAGTGTCCACTATTAAACTCTGCTGACGCTTGAATTTACGTTTTCATTTCTGTAATCAAACAAATAGTAAATATGGTTTTCTGGCACTATTGACTCTCCATACTTTTAACC